TGGCGCACAGAATACACGTGGGCGCGGGGAGCGCGGCGCGCCCCCCGCACCGGCCCGCGCCTGCCGCTGCCCGCCGCCCCGGCCCCCCCTCCCCCCCCTTATCATGCATTGCTCACGTCCACCGGGGTGACCAAGCGACAACAGGCCGCGCGCTCACCTGCTTGGGGGCGAGGCCGGAGGGCACGGACGCGGGGTCGACCTTGAATGTGCAGCGCCAGCCAACGGGCAGTACTTTGCTGGTCAGGTCGTAAGTGGGCGCAGATGAGCCGTCAGAGAGCAGGAACGAGAACGTTGAGATGTCGGCGGTGAATTTCGGGTGCACGTCCAGCTTCTCATTGGTCGCCGCGTTGGTGGCAGAGAAGTGGAAGTCGAGGGAGGTGAAGGGGCGGGGGTAGACGATCGGGTAGCTGGGGGACGAGGTGGCGGGGTTGAAGGCCTCCACGTAGGCGACCGAGGAGAAGTCGCGGCAGTTGGGGCGCGCCGTCGCTGGGGAGCCGGCGCCGGCGATGATCACGGCGCGGGAGTCGAGGGCGGCGACGGCGGCGGGGTCGAAGGGGACGTCTGGGGGAGGGGAGATCACGGGCGGATGGCGAGCTGGTCGGCCCAGGGGCGAGTGCGGGCAGCAGAGGCTAGGCGCGGGCAGCAAGGAGCAAGGATCGCGGGTCCACGCGCGAAGCGTGAGGGAGGACAGGCGCCCATGGGGGCGAGCGGCGCAGGGGCGCGCTGCTGCCGCGAGCAGCGAGGTGAGCGCCCCCCCGAGGCGGGGGGCGGCTTGCCGAGCAGCTGCTGGCGCTCGAGGCGGGGTGGGGCAGCTGGGACAGGAGTTTTCCTTGGATACATGGGGTGCCATGCTTTGGAGTGACTATGCTGACCGGGGGTCCAAGCTCACCCGGCTCCTGCAGCAGCGAGCGGCCCTTCACAGCCCGGGGAGAGGCACACGCCAGCAAGGCGACAAAGACGCCTGCCACGAGCGAAAGACGCGTCATTGTGATGAATGCGCTGTTTACGGTTCTATCGCAAGTTTTTTTGATTATGTTGGTCTGATCGTCCTGTCAATGAGTTCAAAGTTCTCACCCGCTGGCGATGCTGCGAACTTATGTTCAGCCGCGGGGGTGCCTGGGAGATCCGAACCATTCAGCATGACTGACAAGCGCACTGCTACGCACAATCACTGCCAGGCATGACGGAGAGGGTGCAACAGAGCTGTTGCTGCCTGGCCGTCAACCGAGCAATACTCATGTGATCACGGGCCTCCGAGGCAGCTGCGACGCTTCGGGGCGCATGCACGCCACGCTGCCGCACCCCGCCTGCCTGTCCCCCCCCTGGCCTGAAAAATTCAAATGCGCTCCAAATTGCGATCGGCAGCTTCTGGCCCTCATCATGGTCTGGTGTGCGGAGATTGTTGGCGCTTTGGGCGCCTTGGCCGGTGCCTCGTTTCGTTGCTGCCGCTGTCCGGAAGGTGCCCAACAGCGGCCGGCCCGTCCAGGTCGGCAGCCAACTGCTGAATGACTGCGGTGCGCTGCAGTCCGTGACCTTGGTCCACCCGCATCTCATTCGTCTGTCGCAGCGTCCCTCAAACTCCAACATGGAACATTAATGCACCACGTGCGACGCCTAGCCCTGCATGGCCTCTCCATCCCTGTGCACTGCATATGCACGCTACGGCCGCCCACCGCCGCCGCCGCCAGCATCGCCGTCGCCCTCCGCCTCGTGTTCGCCGTCGCTCCCCTCCCCGCGCGCGGCCTGCGCGGCCGCGCCGCCGGGCCCTGGCGCCACCGGCTGGACCTTTGCGCTGACTGTCAGCACCGCCACCTCCAGCTCGCCTTTTATGGTCACCTGCACGCATACGAACACGTGATCGGGTGTACAGTACATTTATTTGGATGACAGCAAAGAAACCGCAGCAGGTTGTTATGAATAGTAAAATAGCTAAGCAGCGGGGCTGCAGTGGGATGCCGTTCATCCTCTCGCCGATCGCTTGAAGGGCCGGTCCGCGCACCCAGCGTCAGGGCGCAGTGGCAGATTCGTTTGAGGAGGAGTGGGGCCGACACAGGCGGGCCGGCGTGGTGGTCCACGCAAGTTGCGGGCATCTCGCACCTAATATGGCTTCTCACAACAAGCCCTGGCACCGCCCCGGCAGTGCCCCTCCTGTGGCGCCCCGCTCACGCGGCACCGGCGGCCGGCCAGCCTGCCCGCGCACGCGCGTGCGCATGCGCGCGCCAAGCGCACGGCAGCGTCCCCTAGAGGGAAGCGGCGTCTGATGTGATGGGAGCAGGGCTGGCTCGTGCCGCCGGGACGCACCTCTCCCACGTAGTCACCGGGTGCGTCTGGCGCCAGCTCCAGTGTGAGGGTCATGGCCATGCCGGGTGCTATGGGTGCCGGGGTGTACAACAGCCTGTGTGTGTTTGTGCGTGTGGGTGCGTGTATGAATGTTTGTATGTGTGTGTTTGTGTATGTGTGCGCTTGTGTGTGTGTGTGTGTGTGTGTGCGCGCGCGCGCGCACCCGCGTGCGTCAATATGTTGTCATGCAGACATGGCAGGGGGGGCCTAGCATGCAGGGCAGGCGGATGCCCAGGGCCAGCAGACTGGTGGTCAGTATTCGGCTGAGAGGCGCTTGAACGCACAACTGCAGGCGGCGTGGAGGGATCGGGGCCTGTGACAGGCTTCGCGCTCTGCTGGCTGCTCTCCAAAAGAATGGCAGAGCACGTTTGCCGCAAGTGCATGCAGTGCCCCGTCCCCCCAGCGTTGCCAAAAAGCCCAACAGATTTGGTTGCCAGCCGTCTGCTCGCCCTGGCAACGCGCCCCCAGAGCACCCCGCGCACGAGGGCGCCCCGACCCACCTGAGCGGCGGCCGCGGCCGCTCGACCGTCACTCGCGCCACATCAGCCCCCAAGTTCATCAGCCGCACCGCCCGCCGCGACGCGCCGCCGGCCGGCACCGCCCCAAAGTGCACGTGCGCCGGCGACAGCCCGAGCTGGCGCCCGCCGCGGCCGGCGCACTTTATAAGTACGGCGCTGCTGGTGTTTGTGGTCCGCATGGTGGCGCCCTCGCGGCAGAGGTAGGGCAGGTTGGGCTCCGCCGGGGCGCCGCCCTGCGGGGATGCGCGCGTGCGCGAGTGTGCGTTGGCGGGAGCGCGCGACGCGTCGTGGCTCCCGGGCGGAGGAGGCCGCAGAGGGGAGGAGGCTTGCTCCTCAAGAGCGCCCTGCTGACATAACGGGCTGAAACGTCGTCCCCTGCCCCCCTCCCGGTTCTGAGGCGCAGCCAGGGCGCCGCCCCATCCGACGTCGCCAACCCGGGCACCCATTGCAGCGGCCCCACCCGCCTGCAGGTGCGCCGCCGGCAGCTTGGGAGGGGCCGCTCGCGGCTGGCCGTACACATCAACAGAGGGGCCCTTGAGCCCGGCCTTTGTGGGGAAAACACTTGGCATCCCCTCCGTCCCTGCCTGCCGCTGCTGCGAAACCGCCGCCAGCCGCCGCCCCGAGGGTCCTGAATGCGCCTGCACGTGCTGCTGCTGCTGCTGCGGCGGCTGCGGCTGCGGCGGCTGCGGCGCCCGCGATGCGGCGCCGAGCGGGCTCAAGCTGCGGCGCGCCGCCATCAGCGGTGCAGAGCTCGCCACCCTCACTCCATCGCGACCGTGCAGCGGTCCCCTTTCGTCAGGCGCGCGGCTGCTGGGGCTGTGGAGCTCTCCGCCTTTGGTCACCTCCCCCTGCTGCTGCTGCTGCTGGTGTTGCCAGTGTGGCGATGCGATTGTGCTGTCGTCCAGGAGCTGCGTGGAAGCTGCCAAGTACACGCCCGGCAGGTACTGGCGCCCTGCGCGTGGCACGCCCCAAAGACGCGTCAGGCGCGGCAGTAAGGCGCTGGCACGCCCGTCACCACGCCCCAACACATCCATTCCGGTCAGCGCCCGGCCGCACCACCCCCCAAGCGGCCATCCCACTAATCAAGCATCCCATCTCTGATTCGAGCCAGCCGAAGCGCTTCCGCGCACCTGGAGACGCCGGCTGGACGGGCCGCGGCGCCCGCGCCACCACAGCGGCGGCCGCCGCCGCCGCTGCGCCCGAGGCGGGCTGCCCTTGGAGCAGGGGGTCCGAGGCCAGCGCCAGCAGGCCCTCCTCGGCTTCGAAGTATCCGAGGATAGCGCCTGCCTGGGGCCGCTTGGGCGTGTGGTCGAAGGGGCCCACCTTTTTGGGCCAGGGCCTGGGGGCAGGGTCGCGGCGCGGGGCGCGGGGCGCCGGGAGGGAGGGGGCGTGATCAAGGCCCGCAGCGCCGTTGGTAGCATGCAGCGGCGCTGCCCTGCTCTCCAGCGTTGCCGCGAGCCTTGCGTGCAGGCGGGCCCCTTGGAACGCAGTCAGCTGGCCTCTGGGGCAAAACCACGCAAACCAACCACGGACAGGATGCGGCTTACAAGCGCCGCATGCAACGCGCCGCTGTGGCAGCGCATGTTGCCCCCGACTGCGCACCTCTTGACCTTCCGCTTGGCTGCCGCCTCCGCCTCGGCCGCCACGGCCGCGGCCGCCGCGGCCCGCCTCTCCCCCTCCACCCTTTCAGCCGCGTCCCTCAGCGCGCCAGCCGCCGCCGCGCGGCACGCGCGCTCCTTTGCCCCCTCCCCCTCCCCCTCCCGGTCGCCGACCGCCCCTGCTGCCCATGCATCCTCCTCCCAATGCTGCGCCTCCAGCCGCGCGACCACCGCCGCCAGTTCCTCCGCAACCTCGGACTCCTCGCGGCGCTGATCCTCAGACCGCGGGTCCTCAGGCGCCGCGCTCGCCGCCGCGAGCGCGGGCCCGGCCCGCGCCGCGGCCGCCGCGCTGAGGCGGGAGAGCGCCTCTTCGACTGCCTGACGCATCTGAGGCGTCATCTCTGGAAGCTCAGTAATCTCCCTTACTACAACTATGGGCGCAGCCCCGCCAGCCCCCCCCGCGCCGCGCACCAGCAGCGTCCCCGCGCCCGCAGACCCCGCCGCCGCCGCGCCGGGCGGCGCGGCCGCCGTCGCCTGCGGCAGGCGCAGGCCGAGCGCGGGTGGCGGCTCGGCGTCGCTGCCGTCAGGGCCGCTGGCGCCAGCGCAGCCGCCGGCGTCGTCGCTGATGTGGACCGTTGTCGGCCGACGCAGCGCGGGCAGGCCGCC